TATTAAGTATCTTCAAAATAATAATAACTATTAGTAATTAAAAAATATAGTGGATATCAAATGCTAAATCTAATCAAAATATGAAAAATAACTGAATAATGTAATGTATAAACCTGATATTAAAATCTATTAAGTATCTCTATTAAAATCTGTAAATAAAAGTCTAAAGAAATATTGAAAATAACAAAAATAAAATATGGAGCAATTTATAAACACATATGTAATAATAAGTACTATAGAAATACCATCATCTAAAAAATGAGTTTTAGAAACAAAATTTAATAATTTGGAAAAATATAATAACATGTATGTATATTCTCCTCTAAGAAATTCTTTATTAAATGAATTTAGTTTAAACGAATAAGTAATCCTAACAATATCTCATATATTATTATCTATTATTAATAATCATTTTAATTTTTGTAATGCTTCTTCATAAGTTAAATTACTCTGTCTCTCCTTAGAGTCACCTTTAAGTATTTAAAGAGATAATTACATCTTTTTGGAAGAATGTTAGTTTATTCAAAGTGAGTTAGATTGGATAGTGTATAGGAAAGAGCTTTCTAAAAAAATAGTATAAATAACAGTTACTGATGTTTCTGGGTCTAATTTTCCATAGAGATTAATATCTCTTCCTCTTTATTCTCGTTGATCACAATAAGCCTCTTTTACTTCGCTTTTGTACCTAATGTCTGCAGGTAAATCAGATCTTGAATCACAAATTTAGAGTATACCCTCGATGATGTTCGTGAGTGCTGGAAAGTAAAGTAATTTTTCCGAAAGTCTTTCCGAATAGATTTTCTGACCGAATACCTGGAACAAACCCTGCATAATCTGGAAAATAAGTTTATTCAAGATACTTGGAATGTGATTTCTATTGCCTTAAATTTGTAATAAATCTTAATCATAATCTTGGCTTGGTATGAATCTAAATATAATAAATAAATTATCATTACCCTGTATATCCAGGGATAGCATTGGCACCTTTTTCTGCTTAAAACATTTTATTATTATTAATATTTAATCAATCGCTAAACTAAATTGTAAAAATCATTAGTCATCTTCATATATACCTAAAACTCTGTTCAAATTTATAGAGACTTAGAATCCATTAGATTATTATTGGAAAAATAACATCTTAGTATTTGTTTTCAAGTCTTTTCCAAATCAAACCATAAATAAGTAAGGAACTAGACAAAATCAATTATTTGGTTGATTCTCTATTTACATAGGACTCAACTGAAATTGATTTATGTACAAAAAGAGTTCATTTGAATTTCATATATATAAAAATCTCCATTATTTGAAAGTCTTCTGTCTGAAACTGCCAAATCTATAGATAGCATTTATTGATAAGGATGAGAGTATAATTAATCATAAGTTGGACGTTCTTAACTTGTGATCATTATAAATGAATAAGAAATAGTGTTCATTCTCACTAATTGCATCTATCCATCTATAAAATATTCATAATTTTTTTTGTAAAATTTTTCACATTAGATTTTTCTTAGATATTCAATTTTTTCCTCCATTTAATGCTATATTTTTAATACTAATTGACTAATAATTGATATATTATATATATCCTAATTAATATTGTAGTAAAGATTACTAATAATATTAATTAGATATTCCATCTAAAATAATTAGGTATTTGGAATAGTATTGAATAAATATAGATAATCATTATGTTGATTTTAATGTAGTTATGATATTTGTATGTCTTTTACTTAATTATTAAAGCAAATTTATAAATTAGAGATAATTCTTTAAAAATAGTCTAAGCATTGTGTTATTTTAAGTATATCACATAATTTCAATAAGTATAACCATAATAACTTATTGAAATAGAAAACTATATGAGTTAGTAATTATTAATAAAAATATATGTATAAATTAAGTACTACATTTTATTTAAGAAAATGAAACTTAAATGACTTACTTTTCAAATTTTATTAAAAAGAATGTAAATTGAATTGTGATTTTTATTTTACCTTATCAACAATACTAGAAAAGATTTTATTTAATGTATTGATATGGGATTGAATATTTACTAATTTATTTTATATTCATCTAGGAAGTTATGTTTATTGTGTTAAAACAAATGAGATGATGTAATAATAAATAATTTCTGATAAGAAAGTAGCTTTAATTTAGGTGAATAAACCGATTACAAGTAATTTTAATTTAAATTGTTATTATCAAATTAATCAGATTTGAAAACAGTTTCAATTCTATAAAGTTAATTTAAAATACAAACAAGAATTAATTAAATAAAATTGAAACTTCACATGACTTAAGTTTCATCTACTAGATTTTCACTACCAAGGATTGGAGAAAATGATCCTAGATCTAAATAGGTTCCTAATACAAGATAAATGAGACCTTCCCTTTTTCTCAATTAAATAGACATAGTTCCAAATTCTCTAAAAACTGAGGCATAAGCTACAGAAAGAAGTATTTGCAAACCAATTCATACTGAAATTGAAAGTGATCCACTAATAGAAATATCTTATCATGTTAAACTTCCAAAATTGGGCAATTCAAGAGCATAAAACTTATAACAATCACTACCTGATTTGCCTCTTGTTTATAGGGAATCTAGAAATGGTTCTCCTATTGAATATTAGAGACCAGCCAAAAGAACTAGATTGTTTTTGAGAAGATAAGAGTCAAAAATAGATACTCCAGTGGTTAAATTTCAAAGAAGGAGAGTGGAGTTTAAGAAGTCTTTAATAGTGATAGATTTAGAGACTGGTGTCTAAGAAAGATAGGAATTGAATGAAGTAAAGAAGCCATTAAGAAGGATTACACACTAAAAGACAAGATCTTATTAAAAAAGATAAGATTGAATAGATTGTTTTAGATCTAATGTCTAAGACATCAATTATTTATACATCAATAATGAGAAACTTTGATTAATTTAATATGTTTTTACAAAGTTTTTCAATAAGACGAAGATTTAAGAATTTAGAAATATCAAATAATAATTTTAATTAGCAAAATATATGAAATATAAATAATTTTTCATCTTTATGAAATGAAAGCCTTAATCTTCTAAGAGTCAATAGATTGAGATAATGAAATATCAACATTTTAATAGGATGAATTCTAAACTTTGTTTGGTAGTGTTTATAAATGTGGTAGAGGAACAATTCTTTTTATAAGACTATCATCAATAGATTTTGCAATTTTTCTTTCTTATTCATGATTAATCTTATTAATGATGTCATATTTTTACATCACCATATATGGAGGAGACTTAATTTTCTTATTGTTTAAATATCTACAAGTAAATCTTAATTAATCTGGCTCATTATTATTTAACTTAATCAATTTATCCATAACTAAAGTTCCTTTTCTATATTTCATAGCTTCAATAGATCCAGATTTATAAACTTAAGTTGCATCATTAAGACTTCCACTTAAATGAGGAATGAGATTATCATCAAAATTGTTTTCTGATATTTTATATCTTACAGTATTAATATTTTAAGTGAATGAAATTTTTGGAGTTTTAGGTTTATTAAAACAATTTGCTAGACTTACAGGTAATGATGGTTTTACATTTTTATTAATTTCTGTTGTATTTTTGTTGTTGGAGACTTTTGCTAATGAAGTGTGTTTAACTTTTTAATTAGGACACTAACAATAACCAAAATACTTATTTTGATGAGGTGTATATGAAATAGAGTTGTGATATTTTAATTTCAATTTTCTTTGTTTTGAATTACTAAATTCATTTAAAAAAGGAGTGAAATTATTGAGATTTTTTCTTTTTGAATAGTTTTATTAGTCCTTTTGGTTGATAAGGTCTAACATGTATTAGTTACTATTCTCAAGATTATATCTATTATAATTCTTAATATAATTACATAAACTCCTTATCCATTTAAATAATAAAAAATAAATCAGATCAGAAACTTTAATTATATTAAATTTATATATAAAGAGTTAAGAATGAGATAGAAATAAAAAAGTATATGATGAATTAATTTAATCAATAATAAATACATCAATTCATATTTATGTTTAATAATTTTAAAGTTAATTTTTTTTTAATAGGAACTCTAAGTAATTACCTTAATCATTTGAAATATTTATAAGGATCTTTGAATTTATCATCCTAATTAAATTAGTAAATATGTTGAATATGCAGATCATAAAAATAAAAAGTTATTACTTATAAGTGGATAATATATATAAGATTTTTAAGATTAAGTTGGATATATTTAAATATTAAGAAAATTAAAATAACTGACTAATTTTTTCATAAGATAATATGTATTTATGATTTTAATTTATCTATTATTAAAATCCATAATAGTAAGAACACCTAATTTATAGAAATTTTGATTCAAAAGCTTTGAGTTTTTGAAGTAAGAGAATTCAACATTGTTTTCTTGATATTTGATATTGAGACTATTAGTAGGTTAATTGATAATTTTATTATGTAATTTAATTCCTATTTGTTTGATAATCATTTAATAATTTTTATTCTAAAGATATATTTTGATTTTAACATAATCTCAAAAAGGTTCTTAAATTACAATATCACAGAAAATGGATTTGAATCCAAGAAATATATTAATCTATTTACATAAAAGAGTAACTAAATTAATGTAAAAGGCTTTTAAATGATATCTGATAGTTATAGTTAAATTGGTTGTATATGTAATAATACTATTTCCAAAATTAGTCTTTCGTGTAAAGAGTAAATTATTATCTACTCCTATTTTTGTACTAGTGAAAAAATAATAATTTCTATTATAGAACTCAATATTGTAATAAAGACAATAAACCAATTTACATCTACATGATTCATACATTAAATGTAAATCTTTAATCCAAAAGATAAAAGCATCTGAAGGCAACTAAGATCAAATATTTGTAGTAAATGCAAATTTGATATTAAATCAATTTAAGGCAGTAATTAATTACTTGCCATTGTGAGTATAGGTTATTTACAATATTGTTGAAATGACTAAGACAAACTCCAAAAATATTATCTGTTTTTCTCAATAGGGTTACTTTCTAGTGAATATGTGTGTATATGAAAACAATTAATAGGATGTTAAAATAAATGACCAAAAATGTTAAGGATTTTAAGGTACATAAATGTATCATGAAGAAAAGTTCAGTATACATATTATGAAAAAGATTATTAGGAAATATGTATTAGTTCTGATTCTAAATTCTTTAAATTCAATCTTTTAATACTCTTCTTCTAATTAAGTATTATCAAATCTTAAATTGAATTTATTCATTATTATTAATAATATGATTATCTATTTAATATTTAATATTTCAATTGTCATCATCTTCATTTTCTTACTTTTATTCCTTAATTTCCTTGCTTACAATATCCCAAGTCATATAATAGATCAAAGACATAACTCCAAAACCAGTACCTCCTTTTGTATAAATACCTTCATTCTTATCTGTAACAGCAACATTAGCTATATCCCAATGCATCCATCTCACCTTCTTTTCAACAAAGCATTCTAAAAATGCTGCTGCAGCTGAAGCTCCTACTCTACCAGAACTTGAGTTATTGATATCAGCAACACTTCCTTTAATCAATTCTCTATGTTAGTCTTCTAATGGTAAAGCCCAAAAAGGTTCTTTTGTTATTTTTTCAACTTTTCTTAATAAAGAAAAACATCCCTTTCTATTTGTAAAAACTCCACAATATCTACCCAAAGCATTTTTAATGATGCCAGTAAGTGTTGACAATTCAATCATTTCTTAAATTTAGAATTTATCTTATGCATAAGACATAGCATCAGCTAATATTAATCTGCCTTCAGCATCAGTATTTAAAATTTCAACAGTTATACCCTTATAAGATTAAATAACATCAGAGACTCTATATGAATCTGGTCCAACTGAATTTTCAACCCAAGCAGTTGAACAAACAACATTAATAGGTAATCCTAATTCAACAACAGCCCTGAATGTCTCTAATACAGTACAAGCACCACCTTTATCATCATACATTTATTCCATACTAGATGTAGTTTTAATACTCAAACCTCCACTATCAAAAACAACTAATTTATTAGATCAATATTTTACCTCCTTTTCCTACTAAAGCATAATATTTATCACTCTCTGCATTTCCTTTATAAGACAAACATGAATAAAATGGCTTATGTATTGAACCTCTTCCAACTGCATGTATCAATCTTAATCCAACTCCCAAAAGTTCATCTCCTTCAATTAAAGTTGAAGTAACTTTATCACCAAATCCTTTTACAATGTCTAAAATATAATTTTTCATAAATCCAGTAGTAGCAATGTTAGGTCTTGTGGGTACCAATTCTCTTAATCTCAAAATTGGTTTTACTAAATGATGCAAACTATATTATTAAGTATAATATTTACTATTTAAGATTCCAATGTTATTCTACTTGATTTAGATATTCTTCTTAAGTAATTGATGTAATCAAATTTAAATAATTGATTGGAAATGAAGATGATTTACCTCCTTCTTTAATAGATTAATATGTCCATCTATAATTAGCCAATTAAAATCCAAAAGAGAATTCAGCTATATCATTAACTGTGTAATTATGAGGCAATAGTACACTAATTGAGTTATCTTCTGATTTTTGATTAGCTATCTTATTGGATGCTTTCCTAGCCAAATTTGCCCCATCCATTCTTGGACTTGTTGCATTCTAAATTATCACATATTCAAAAGGATCTGTATCATTTAAAGCATAAATCTTTGCTGATTTTCCAGAATTAATGTCTTTGAGCAACTCTTTTGATTTAAAATAAAATTGCAGCGCTTTAACAATTGGATCTGCAGATTCATTTATAGATGGATAATACAAGACATAAACTCCCTTATTTATTGCTTAAGTGGTATGCTTAATCTCAATATGGGGAGTTGTCTCCATCAATGTGTGTTTCTACATAATTAATATATAATTTATTAAAAAATATTAGATTTTTAAGTCTTCCACTTAAGTAGTATTTAAAACACAACAAAAAAAATTTCAATCAAAACGCTATTCGTAAGTTTAGCCAGAAGAATAAAAGATTAAATATTATAAACATTATTATAATAATTAATTTATTAAAATGATAAGTATCTAACACAGTATATACATTCTTAATCATAGTCAATACTATAATTATTATAGAGACAATAAAAATCAAGATTGTTAAAAATCGTAAAATATATAAAATTATTTTAAGTAATATATTAATAATGTCTCTTGTGATTATAACATCATTAAAAATAAAATAAATCAAGGATTTCTTATCATTAATAATATAATAATATGATTTCTCTGTTAAAATTTATTTGTCCAATAGGTCATATTATGATTTCATTTTTATAAGCTTTTAATGGAATATTTTCAAATTTTGAATATCATATTTATTGAAATTCACTTCTACAATATATTTAGATTAATAGATTCTGTAAAAAGAATAGAATTATAAAATCAATAAATTACTAAACAACTTCTGATACCATTTATTTCTAACGCTAGTATTAAAATAAAATAATAATAGAACTTAGAAAAATAGATGATATAAAATAGTTTGAAGAACTATAATTTATAATCATTGATCTCAATAGAGACCTCAAATAAGATGTATTTATTCATTTATTCATTCATCCTAATTTTGGCAAAAATTTAGTTTATTGTCTTTGTAAAACTTTTCGAATAAGAGGTTTAGCACTTCCATCAATTTTATCTTTCTTTATTATTTAATTAATGAAATCTATCACTAAAATAGATGCTCTAAATTCAACTCTTTTTTTTAAGAGGTTACCCTCTGTTAAATTTTTTTTATGTTTAGTATCGTTTTATGGAGATGAATATTAGATTTGGGGTAACTGTAATTATCCTCCTGATTAAATTGTAGCCTTCATTGATTAGATTTAGGTAACTGAATCATTAAAAAGAGTATTTTCAAGCGATTCTTTATTACTGATTGATATTGATTATTTTTCTTTTATAATAGGTAATTTTGTAGCTTGTCTTTTCTTTAATGATTTCAATTAAGTGATAAGTGGAGACTTTTCAAGATCAGAAGGATTTAATTTTGGAGACATTAAAACTGTGTTCATATCTATATTATTCAAAAACATGGATGGTCTTATTTGATTTGTTTTTGTTTTAGGTATTTATAATTGCATAACAATTTTTATATTAATTATTTTGTGTAGGATAATCAAATTTTAGATAAATAGAAGCGATATACTACAATTTATCTCAAATAAATAAATTTTGATTAATTATAAATTTGAATGCTTAAAAGAATTTATAAGAAGTATTAAGATATTCAATTAATTCATGATTTTACCAATAAAATGAATAGATTAATCAATTAGTTATTTAACAAAATTGCTTTAAAATAAAAAATGTGTGAAAATTAATAATTTTCTTATAAAAATAAAAATAATCAATCATAAACAATAATCATAATTATTCAATAACCCAAACTTCAAAATGTTAAATAAAAAATTTTTCATTTTGGGTAAATCTAGGATTTTCAAAAGTTGTACATGGATTATTATATCCAAAGTATAATTTTGAATCAACAAATATACCAAATGAAGGACCACAACCAATACTAAATCCATCTGAATCACAATAAACAAAATCATTATTTGTTTCTTTCCAATAATATGGAATCATCTACAATTAATCTTACTTTAATATAATTTAATTATTATTACTTAAAATAAAAATGTTTCTCCAGTTCCATGAAATCCTGGTTTTTAATTTTTTAATTCAGATGAAACATATGCTCCAAAAACATTTCCATCTTTATCTTTGATTGTGAAAAAGAATGGATTTTAATATTACAATGAGAGCAATAATTATTAATAACTAGAACCATCATTATCTATAGTAAATTTAATATTCCAATTAGATAATCTATAAATTGCAGGTATCAATTCAATTAATTATTTATATAGACTTTCATTTAAACATTTTGAATTAGCTTTATATTTTGGAACATATGAAATACTGGCCCATAATCCTTAATGATATAATTATTTTATTACTTCCCATTCTCTTTCCAATTACATTATCTAATTCCTACTTTTAGATTAATTGTTAATAGCGATTACTTTCATCAATTAAATCTATATAAGGAAGTTTAGTTAAATTAATAACATTATCTTATTCCTTTAAATTTTAAACAGAATGATTAATAAAATCAGTAATTGTTTTACACATCTCTTTCTTTACTTCTTCTGGAATTAATTAACCTGATTCATATCTCTCTTAATACTAAATTTTAAATTATTAAATTACTCTAAAAAATATAGTTGCAATACTCTTTTTTTGTTTTTTTAATTTTTCAAGTTTCTTTCTGAATTTCTTTTCAAATTCTACTCTACCAATCCCACTTAATAAAATTTAAATTAAATAATCTTTTTAATCATTTGCATTAGGTAAGATATGTACAATTGCTTCATTAATATCATTAATAGAAATGCATGCATTATTAATTATTCTCTTACCTGCTTACTATTAAATATTATTAGTATCAAAAAGTATCATATCTTCTCTTACAGTTATTTAACCTTTAACATTTTAATCATCCATACAATAATACATTGGAATATTATTGAATTATTAGATTTATTACTTCCATATGTCTTATTATATTTATTCAACTTCTTCTTCTTCATCATCTTAGTCTTCTTCTTCACTATCTTCTTAATTTACTTTAAAGACTTTTAAGACCATTCCTTTACAAATAAATTCGCTGCTCAAATTATTCATCCTTTTTAATAACTCTACACTCATATCAAATTTTAAAGCTATCCCAATTAATGAATCTTCTAATTAAACTTCATATTCCTCATACTCTTTGTTCTTAGAAGTATCAATTGTACTTTCTTCATTGAATTTAGTTTTAAGCATTTCATCATATTAAATAACTGTTGTCTTACGCTTCAGTTCAAAATCTTAATCATTTTAAGGCTTTTATTTTTTAGGTTTTATAAATTTTAAAGCCTTTTTCACCTTTTTGAACATATGGAAATTAAATTTAATAAAAAATAAATTAAATCCATATTTGATTATATAGTTAAAAATGGAAATTTAATAAATATATCTTTACAATTATTAGAAACATATGCTTTTATTAATTTGTTTGATAATTTTATCTAAATTTTAAATATACTTAAAACAATTTAAATAAATTCTTAAGACCATAATGTTAAATAAATCTGTTAATACAAATAACAATTAGTTAAATAATGAATATACTTTTATAATATTCTCATTAAAAAGTTATTTATAACTCAAAGCAATACTTTATTAAATAACAAATCATATGTTAAAGATGATTTGAAATATTATTAATAAATGAATTATAGCAATCAAAACTTATAAAAAAATAATCATATAGATTAATATTACCAAATTTAAAGTAATATTTTCTTAATTAGTTTTTTATAAATTTACAATAGATATACTATAATTATTTATATATTAATTTTAATAATATTCTTAAAGAATTGAATAAAATAATAGAAAACAGTATAAAATACTAGATTATGTAATAATTCCACTGAAAAGTTTGTAGTAAATAATATTTATTAGGATTCTCATTAAAATTTAAAATACTTAAGATCTAAGCATTTATATTTAAATAATAGTCCATCTAAAATGATCTATCAAGAATGATATTGATTTATTTATGATTAATAATTTAAATAGTCTATATAGGATTTTAACAATTTAAGATGAAAATTTGAATTATGAAAGAATTTGAATTAATAAATATTGAGATTGAAACATTTGTAATTTTTAGATTTTAGATCAATTTAATTATTATGAAATCCAAAATTAATAACATAAGTAATGAAATGAGATTTTTTTTGATATAATATTTATAATATTAAATGGGTTCTTGTGCAGGATCAGGATAAAATAAATAAAAATAATTAAGAGATGATAGAATCAGAACAGAACCAGATAAGGAAAGAGGAAGTGATGCTTTCACAGGTGGGATCAATATCTCTAATGCATCAAGAAAAAGTCCAGATTTGAAAGGATTGGATTTACCAAATTCGAAAAAGAAGACAATGAAAAAGTAAGAAAGTCTTAAAGTCACACTTTCAATCACAAATGGTCCTATTACAAAATATTATATTCGAAAGAACCTTCGTTATTTAGAAGGTGTAAATTTTAAAGATAATATGTTTGTTGTTCAACATATCGTTACTGGAAAAATTCGAGTAGCTGAAAGATTTTCAATTAATACACTAACGAGTGCATTCATAAATAAAATAATCTACTTATAATTAGTAAATATTTGATTTATTTTAGAATCATCCTAATTTGCTTGATATATATGGAATATTTTAAGAAGATAACTTTTACACAATTATTTCTGATTATTGTAATGGAGGATCTTTATTAACATTACTTTCTGAAAGGAATTCTCATTTTGAAGAGGATATTGCTGCTTAATGTTGTAGATAAATATATGAATTAATGGGTTATTTACATAAATATGGACTTTATCATGGTTAATTAAGTTTGAAAAGTTTTGAGAAATATAATTAAGGAAAGAAACAATTTAAACTAAAACTTGTTGATTTTAGTTGTTTATTTTGTAAATCAGATATTAATGAAAATAATGTATAATTTTTATCACCTGAATGTTGTAATGAAAAATAAAGTTATACTGCAGCTAGAGATTAATGGGCGGTTGGAATTATTACTATGGCTATAGCTTTTGGTAAATTACCCTTTGATGCAAATTCATTATAAGAATGTTTGGACAATATTCAATTATCTTGTAAAAAGGAAGGTTTTTTATAAAAAGAATTGGAGAAATAAATTGGTAATCCTTTAATTAAAGATTTGATAATATAATTTTTACAAGTTGTTCCATCTAAAAGAATAGATTTTTTTTAAGCTTTAGAATCTAAATGGATGAAAAATTATGAATAAATTACTAAATAATAATTTAAATAATGTTTAGATGAATTAACTAAGAAAAAAGAGGCAAACTTTCTTCAATCTTGTTTTCTTATAATGATGATCAAATAATTTGATGATTAATACTCTTAAATATAAGAAATATTTAATGGATTAGATCTTGATAAGAATGGAAGACTCACTAAACCAGAATTAGTTAAACATTATACTTAATATTTTAATGGTTAATACAAACCTTATGAGATCTAAGAATTTGTAAATGAAATATTTGATGCTTCAGATATAAATCATAGTGGTGATCTAGAATTTTCTGAATTTTTAATTGCCTTATCAAATCAAAAAACCATTATAAATAATGAAAATTTAAAGTCCATTTTTAATCAAATTAATTAAGGTCAACCTTTTGGATTTAATGAATTACAACCATTATTTAGAACTAAGGAAGCAGAACTTCGAAATTCACTTTAATAAATTCCAAATTAAATTGTATACTTTATATATATATATTTTAGATTAATTTTGAGGAGTTTTAAAAACTTATGTTTGAATTAATAGAAAATAAATGATATATATAAAATTTGTTTAGAATTTCTAAATAACAAAATAATAAACAATCAATTAAATATTATTTATTTTTAATTAAATTAAATAAGGATTTACAATTTAATTTATTCATATATTTTTGTTGACTATTTTATTTAAGAAATCAATAACAATAACCATGTTATTTTGTGTATAATTATAATCAGAGTATAATAATGTTCTAATTTATTGAAATTATTCAGGAATGAAATATTAAATTTCTGTTGTTTTTCAAATTCTAATATTTTAATTTTATAATCTTAGAAGAGATAACATAAATATATTATAGAGGAGGTATATATAATAAATATTAATAGATATTAAAAAAATAAAAAGTATGTTGAAGAAACATAAAATATTCTATTAAAAATGTATAATCTTAGATTTTAATATTAGTAAGATATTCTATATTAAATAACAATATTTTAGATATGTAGACATCCAAAAGCACTTAATTTTAGTATAATCTGTTTTTATTATTATAGATTGAACCAAAAAATATACATACTCATTCTAATATATTTGGATTCACAGTAAGGAGATAAGAAAAAAATCTATAAATGATATGATTGTCTGGTTAATAATTCCTTATTTATTAAAATTGTTTATATAAATGGTTAATGATTATCACCAAAAATTAAAACTTAGTTAATGTTAAAATATATTAATATTTACAATAACAAAAAATATCATAATAGTTAGGAAATCTTTGCATATAATTCTTGTATCATTTTGTCATCGAAATCTTATAATATCTTGTCTAATTTTAATTTAAAATTTTATTATCTCAATTTTTCTTTGATATTTTCTGTAACTAGTAATCTTAATATTGAATCTAATAATTATTTTATTAATCCAAGATCATTTAAGTCTAGAAAACTACAAATTATTTGAAGAAATCCTATATCTAATAACTTTTTTGAAACTATTTCATCTCCAGTTGCTTACAAATTCAAAATTACACTCATACAATAACTCTTTTCATTACTTGAAGCTATTATGTTTTCAATTATCTTAAATAATATAGGATGATTAATAATCTTAATTGAAGCATTACTATCATTATAACTTAAATTAGCTAAAATTAGATAAGATTCTTTTCTAATACTCTAAGATTTGTTACTCAAATTCTTTAATAATATATCTAATATTTTTAAATCTAATAATTTCTAATATTAAATATATTTATACATGTGCTATTAATAAAGTGTCTGATAATGTGAATTACTTTATTATAGCTAAGCATTTATCCATCATTGTGCATTAATGATTAATAATTGTTTCAAAAACATTAGATTGTAATAATAAATCATCAAATTAAGAATCATAAAGTCTACCTAATGGCATTAGATATTCTTCACATTATTCTTTATTTAAAGCCTAAAGAACAATCTTAAGACCTATAAATTTTTAATTGGAATCCATTTATTAATGCTCAATTATAGAATTCAATAAAAATATTATACTTGTTAAGAATTATCCTTCAGCAACAGATCCAAATTATAATAAATTTGGAAGTAAATTCAAATATTATAACTTATATTAAGATATAATGTTTCCAAGAAAAAAGAATATGTATTTATATTAATTTTCTAGATTATCCTTAAATTTATTTTACTATTCAACTTATAATGTTTAATTTTAAATTAAATCATTATTTTATGATGTTTTTTATGAAATTTACATTTGCTATTATATTATAATATTTTACATTTTCGAACTATAAGTTTGCTTAACTTATATAATTTAAAGCTTATTTAATTAAAGCTTAACTAATAGGATTATTTGGATATTATGGATTTAAACATAAATTTGTTAATACTTGATAACATACAAAAGATCCTAATTGAATTGATTATATGCAAAGTTCTAAGTATTGATTATTAATAAAATAAACTTCATGTTATACAAATTCATTGATTTATTTAAAAACAACTTAATGAAGCAATCCTAATTGAATTACATTTTTTTATTATAAACATTCTTTTATTTAAGGAATTATTTAATCAAATTGTATTTCAGGTAATTTAGAGGATTATTAGAACTGCAATCTTTTTCTTTAAAAAAATGATTCTTAATCTTTTTTTCTTATTTCCTGTCTAAATTATTCTCTCATATTTAACATCATATTTTAAGAAGTGTTAGAATCCATTAAATAATTAATTTGTTAAATTTATATTAAATTAATTCATTCTTATTGATACAATCCAACATGCCAAAATGGAAATAAAGACATTATATAACAGTAGATTAATTCAAAAGCAGCTTTAAAAAATGAACTAAATGTTCTTTTCTATTCTAATATATAATAAGATTAAGAAATTACTTTATTATAATTATTTTAGTTTTCTAATTTCTTCTTCTAATTCAGGTTCTTCATCCTATTCAACTTTTGTTTATTTTTCATATTATATTTCTTATATATTTTCATCAATATCTTCATTCTCTTTTTATTCTTTATCTTACTAATCAATTGATGTCTTATCTATTTTTATTTCTCTATTTGACTAAACATTTTATTTGATAGGTAATTCTTAACTATTTTCTTGAAATTATCTTTCATCGAATAATAATTCTTCTTTGAATATTTCTTCTTAGTTATCTTAAAATTGATTTTCCTTTTTTTCTTTGTTAATAGTATTTTAGATTTCCTTGTCTTATTAATTTAATTTTTGTTCATATTCAGTTTTTTCTATTTAATTTTATTATTTATCTCTTTATAATTCTTAAGCTTATAATAGTTTTGCATTTCTAATCAAAAATTCTTAAAGTTATTCTTTACTATTTAGTTACAAATCTAATTCATTGTCTTATTCATTAAATGAATCTAATTCATCAAATTTTTCTTATTATTATTCTAAATTGAAATTATGTTTTTCTTTAATTGTATTATCATTATTATCTTATTATTATTATTATTATTATTATTATTATTATTATTATTATTATTATTATTATTATTATTACTATTACTATTATTATTATTCTTAATTTATATCTCTTTATTAATCTTATTATTATCTTTATTACTATAATTACTATTATTATTATTATCTCAATTATGCTTTAAATTCTTGATATTTTATCCAATAGTATATTCCAATAATTACCAATAAATAATAATAATTCTACCCTTTAAAATAAGAACTAAACAATGCATAGAATGCTCCAATATAACAAATCATCTTGAAATGGAAAAAGATCTCTTATTACATAGGAGTATCTCTATCATCTAATATATTAATCAATTTTTACCTTATCTCCTTTATTATTACGGTTTTTAAATTTTCTCTTAATTATTTTGTTAAAATTTCAATCCCATGATTGGCATTAAAGAAACAATGGGTTAGAAATTAGTAAGATTTAATTAATTGAATACCAATGTTCTTTGAATATTTTTAGTGTATTCTAGATAAATCAATTACTTATTTGTTTATGAAGGTTATTTTTTAGTACCAATCATTGTTAGAAATACAAGTTGTTCTTATTTTTTTGCAATATCAAGTAATTTTTCATTGCCATACAATTCCACGCCACCATGATATAATTTGATTGTATCTGGATCATAGAAAGATTAGTTTTTAGCAGAGAAATATTGAATCTAATATAAAGTTGAGTTGTACTTATTCAGTTGTCCAATAATCTGGACATTGGAACTCTAAAAAATGTCCATTAGGAAACTTAACTTTTATATTCATTTAATAATGTAATAATGGGATTTAGTAAATGAATCAAATGATTAGTTAAGAATGTTTAGCTATTGTTTTATAGTGTGGAGTGCTTTATTTATACTTTGCTATGATAGAATCAAATTGAATAACCTTAGTTCTAAGAAGCAAATAGATGTTTACAATCGTTTAGTATCAATTTTACATGGATAATTTACTTTTTGGGGATCACTCATTATAATACTATCTCAGACACCATATGAATTATAGGAAATGAACTCTTCTGAAATGCAATTTGTTATGATAGTCAGTGCAGGTTATTTTGCATACGACGTCATAATATGTACTTATTTCGATTTATATGATTATTGGTTGATATTTCATCACATCATTAGTTTGATGGCCTTTGGAGAAAGCATTCTCAATAAAAAATATGGACATATAATTATATGTAAATAGCTATACTCATATACTATATAGTCGGTATGTTCATTAGTGAAATATCTAATTTGCCTATGCATCTTAGACATATTTTAGGTTGTTTTGGATTAAGATAAACAAAAATCTATGAATCAATAGAACTTCTTTATTTCTCATTATTCTTAATATTTAGAGGCATCTTGAGCCCAGTCTTACTAATAAGAACCTATGAAGATTTACATGCTCCATTATTAATTAAGATATCTGCATCTGGATTGTTATTATATTCAGTCTATTACATTATAGAGTATATTAATATATTTCTATTTTTAGAATGATCAAAATTACTTAAAGAAAGATTAAATCATATAGAGATAGAAAGAGAAGAAATTTAACAATGTATTGGTTTGTTCAGAATCCATTATTACCTTCATAAAAATACATAGACTCTATATTATGAATAATATTATAATAAGAATTATATTATATCTATAATAATCATAATAATTTTATTCCAAAATAGTTTAGATATGTTGATTTTAATCTTATATTTAATAATTATATTCAAAATAAATATTTTTATTTTGTTTGATGAATAAATTTACTTTAAAATTTGATGATAAAATATTAGAAGAATAATATTAAAAAGTTAAACTGTCTAAAATTAGAAAACCCATTTATTTGGGATTGTTATTACTATGTTTTTGTATGATGAGTTCAAATGCCATATTAAGCTTGTTTACATCATAATAACAGACTTTAAAAACATATATAAATTATTCTTACCTAATATTTATGGTCTTTTAAGCTATTATAGTATACAAAAGACCTCATTTAATTAAATACTTATTGGCAATTTCAAATATTGCCACAGGATTATTACAATTTAATTTTAATGAATCAACCCCAGCCTAAATCTACTATGATTAAAGTTCTTCATTTACTTAGTTATAAGCAGTTGCATATTTCATATCTGATTTCAAAGATGGAGTTATACAAGTTGTAGCCTTACTCTTAATGAGATTTATGATTACTTCAATGAAAATAGAAAATGTGGATTTGCAGACTGTATTAATAGGAATTGCATCAACATCATTTATTTTAGTTACCTTATATGTAAATGATTAAAACTCAAGAAAAGAATTTTTAGGAAGTATTTCAGAAGATTTATGGGATCATTCTTTATCCATTCTTATTAAAAAACCTCATTTTAGGGTGTAATATAATAAGGAATATATGAAAATAGATTTAATTTCATCAAACTAATTATGTGATTTCCCAGGTTATGATGAAAATTTATGTGAAGGATGTAATAGTAGATAATTATTACATTTATATTAATACAACAAATATAATTTATCTGATTTTATTCTAGAATAAGCTTAGACAATTTAAAGTTAAATAAAAGTTTAATATAAACATCATTCATTTCAATTAAGAATAGTATGTGTTGGAATAAAGAATTTAAATATAGTTGTAATTTATGAAAAAACTACAAGTAATGTAAATGAATAAATAGTTCCAATTAAATTAAGAAATTTAATTTTTCAATATATTTAATCATAATCATAAAAAACAATTTATTAAAGGTTATTTAATTAAGGTTTATTATCAATTTTGTTAATTAATAAAATGAAATTAAAAGAAGTGGAAATTACAAAAATGTTCAAGAAATTAAATAAATAATATAAATATACAATGAAACCAATTAAAATACTTCCAAAGAATATTAATTTTAAATTTTATACTTATTCTTCATAATTGAAAATACTTTTAGTTTAAATATTTTAAATCTTTGATTAAATCTCAAAAAAAAGAATATCTATATTATTTTAAGATTTAGAAGATTGTATTTTAATGTAAATTAAATTTAAATAAAGTTAAGAAAGAGATCTGAACTTTTTATTTCTTAGCTTTTATAGCAAGAATATATTTATATAGTAAATCAAATCACTCTTGTTATTTAATGAATTAAATTTAGATTTGCAAATACAATTCAAAAAACACATTCCATACTAATTAATATATTGATTTAAATAAAATATTTATATATCAAAATATCTTCTAATCCTTTTATAATATTGTATCTTCATCTCCATAATTTATAGTATTAATTCTATTTTCAATATTTGTTTAAACCACTCTAAATGTATAAGGCATTAATAATTTTGAAGCTCGATTTTAAGGTAATTTTCGAATCTTTTATTCAAGTTATTAACTTTCAACCAATTTTTCTCTTTAATTTTTATATTAACGATATGCTATATAAAAAAGAATTGATATAAGAAATACCAATAATATAAAAAATAAATAATAAATTGGAATAATAAAAGGTTTTTAATTAAAATGAACTTTAAATTCTCTTGATTTCTAACCTTAATTTGTTCTATATATTAATTTATACCTTATTTCAATCTATTTTGAATCAGCTAAAATTATCATAAAATTATTATACTCTCAATAAAACACTTAATTTAATATGGTTAAATATTTGGTTTAAATTAAAATAAATATTTAGATGTAGTACCATAAATATAATCACCAGATAAAACAAATTATTTAACAGAAGTTAATTAAAAAGGTATTGCATTTTCTTTATCCTAATAATAAATAAGAAAATGAGTATGAAATCCTTAAACTAAGATAAATTTCTCATTAACTCCAATATCAACAATTTTATTAGAAATATTGAATCTAGCTACAGAACCCCACTTTTTATTAATAAATTCAATATTGAATTAGATTACATAATATTGATTTTTTGTTTTATAGGCAACAAAGACAAAATCATCATTATTTATAGTAATAGCAATTCCATCATTTTTAGGACCTATATTTTTCAAAAGTAATTTACTCAACACTTTTTCATTTTAAATTGTCAAATCAATAACAATAATACCATTTATTTTACAAAGTATATAAAGTAAATAATTCATTTCTTTTAATTTTGAAATAGAAAAATCTCTAAAATCAACAGCTTATAAACCAATAGATTATTTATCTAAAGTATAAGACTAATAATTTTGATTTATAAAATAAATTTCTAATCCATCTGATCCAATAACTGAAAATAAATAACAATCAATAATTTGTGAATAATATCTACTTTATCTACTTTACCAATTCTCAATATTTCCTTAATTTTATAGATTTCTAAAATCTAAATAATGAGCATAGTTAGGATAAGCTAAAATAAAATATTCAGAAGATCCAATAAGTTAAGGCAGTGAAATTTATTCATTTATAATGTTAAGATCATAAACTTTTGTGATTTCATTTATTAAACTAATATGAAATAGATGATTATTTATTGTTAATCCATAAATTTCACTTTAACCTAGGATCACCATATCAATCAAAAGATCAGAATTTTCAGGTAATGAATCATTTTTGAATTAGTCAGATGGTAATTAAAATGTTTATCCTTCTGTTAATAATGTTCGATTTGATAAATAACAAAACTATAAGTTATTGATTATTTTATTATTGTCACTAGGTTAATTTTAATCAATACTCGATCTAAACAAGTTAAGCATCCAAAGCATCTTTTATTTCAAATAATGTCTAAACTTCACCAAACTTAACAAAATAGGATTATAATGCTTTGTTCAAAGTAGGAAGGATTAAATAAATGAATAATAGCATTAATTTAGTAAAAATTGCAAATTAATTTTTATATGATTTAATATATTCATATGGCAAATTCTTATTTAAATATTAGAGCATATTTCGCAACGTCATCTTATTTATAGGATAGTAGTTTTTGAATTACATTAATTCCATCTAATTGCACAAAAATAATAAAGAACTAATTAGATTTGTTATCTTTAGCCTTGATTTCTCCTTTTCTAATAATTTTAATAAGCATTTCGAGTCCCTTTTTAAGATGATTTGAAGCAATTTCTTTTTCATTTGCAATTTCAAACATTCTAAGTAGATATTTAATAAGTCCATTTTTTACAAGATGATTAATATCCTCATTAGTCCCATGTTATATAGCATTTCCAATCACTTCTAATACATCACCTCTTAAATTTGAATTATCATCACATAATGATCTAAAAAGAGAGACCAAAAAGTTTTAATTTGATAAAACCTTAAACAACGTTTCAGTAGCTGCAAATGTTTATATCATATCTCCACTTTTTTCTCTACTTTTAGGATCAACAATCATTCTAATATGAGCAATAAATCCACATTCTAATAAATAATTAATTTAATCTTCTGTTCCATAAAATATGCATTCAAAAATTCTAAGAATTGATACAAAATTCCCCATAGGTAATAGATTAATTAATTAAGGTACGACTCCACTATTTATTAATGCAGCAATTCTATTTGGTTCACCATCAATCATATATCCTAACGCCCATATAGCATCATTAATCATTTTTAAATTTTGTTGATTGAACTCTTCCATAATCACTTATGCAAATATTTCAAATGCTGATTGTATCTTATCAAATTTAGGACTTGGCCTACCTATACATAAATTAGCCAAACACCAAATGTAAATTGATTTGTATTTGGATTCCATTTTGCTTATTATTTTTTCTATACTGCAGGCTTACAATATAGAATCTCGATATTTCACAGATTCACCAGCCAATTTACCTAATATCGTTATGATTAACATAATCAATTCGCTTTAATTACCATCCAATACAGTTAAAGATAATTATAGTATTCCATTTTGCATAATAATTCTTGTTATTTCACTTCTTCCAGCAGCTAAAATTGAAATGATTTCTAAGATATTAATAAAAATATAAACAACATGCAGCTTCTAATTTTAATAAATATGTGCTTCCAAACTAGATGATATGAAATAATATAGGTATGAGCTCATTTTCTTTAGCAATCTATTCTGCCTAATCAAAATTCTTTTTTTATTATTGAAATATTTATACAGACAAAGTTCTTCTTAATTTAATAATTGCTTTATGACTTTCAATAAAATTCTCTGATCGCAGTGCATTTATCGTATCTATGACAGCTATATGATCTTCATCCATTCTTAAGATTTAAATTATTTCATCCTTTAGCGTTTGACATATTTACTCCTAATCGACTAAGTCTTCATGGTTAGAATTTTGTTACAATTTTTTAATGCCTCCAAGTTTCTGACTATTTTTCATGGTTTTTTCTTTGTTTATTGTAGGAATAATAGAAGAATTTAATTATTTATTCTTCCCAGAATAGTTTATTCATAATGAAATATCAATATCATAAACTATCTATTTATTCTTTCATTTTCTATGTAGATATGAATAATTATATAAATTCAATTCAAATCCAATTGAATAATTGTATCATTCTTACTGACATTAAATATCAATTTTTGTTCCAAGAATAAAAGACATTATGCTAAACATATAAGTATTTTAAACTACTAGATTCATAGTAAATAATATGTTTTAAATGATTCAATTTAAATTGTTATCATATACATAAGTTAGATAAAAAAAATTAGTGCTATGGATATTTTCATATTATCATATATAGAAATCAGATTCAAAGGAGAATTTCATTTGGACTGACATATTTTTTACTATGATTGATTTTTAAGGATTTCCTGTTAGGCAATTCAGTTTATTCAATATAATTTTTAGAGAGAATATTACATTATTCACCCTAAATACCTTATCTATAGTTATTATAGTTCTTTGAATTAATTCTTGTGTTCATCAAGTTTAAAATATGATTTAGTTATTTAATCAATATAATAAAAACTGAAATATATAATTTATCATGGCAACAATAATTTTTTGATTGCAGCACATAATCTCTGTGAATTTTATCTACATTCTTCTTCCAAATTGCATTCTTGGATCTTATATTTTTCTTTTATGGAATACATAAACTCAATTAATTTGGTAAATTCTTCTCCTTAACCTAAATCTCTTGTTTATTGAGATGTTAATACACACTAAGATTTTATAATATAAATAATATACTTAAGCAATTAATTCTTAAGCTATATGCAAATCATTTTTATCAAGATTAAATCTATCTTATGGATAACTCATTGGAATAATCTTTTATAAATGAAACTTTAAAAAATAGGAATCTTTAGCTTTAAATCCAGTATAAAGTGCAAGATTTTTCATACAAACTTAAGTTTTATAAAGAACATCATTTCCCAATAATATATGATCATTTCTAACTAATAAACGATTTAATATAGTAATTGCATAATCATAACAAAAAGGTGTATTTTAAATATTACTCTCTTATACAGGAAATGTGAATCCAAGATTGTAAATTTTAATAGAAACTCCTTTTTTTAGTGCAATATCAGTTTATATTGCTTTAACATGATCTATCATATATAATAGAGTATGAGGAACACAATTTCTATCAACAAATAATACTGCTTTTTCATTATTAGAATTGATTATTTCATTAATTTTTTTATGAAATTCTTATTAAAAAGCTTCTTTGATAAATAGAAATACTTTTTAAAATTTAATTGCCAAAGAATCTGTACTATCTCCTAATTTATCTTTTATTAATTGAAGAGTAACTTCATCTGCACAAATATCATAAAAAGGATAATCCTTATAATTCTATTTTAAATATTCAACCAATGTTGATTTTCCAGAACCAGGTATCATAAATGGATAAATAATTACTATTTTTTTTTAAGGTTTAACATCTTCATCAGATTCTTCTAAATCTAGTTCATTTTAATCTTCTATTTATGGTTATTCACCATATTCAAATTATTTAATTATTAACTCCAATTTTTATAAATCAAATTCTTCCAATACAAAAGTTCTATTTGGAAAATTCTTTTAACATTCTTTTAAATAAACTTATCCTTTTTCTAACCATCTTTCCAAACTCAATTATTATACTTTTGGTTTTGCTGTTGTAAATTGAACACCAAATGAACTCATTATTGGATTTTAATCTTAAAATATTTTTGATTATAAATTTTATAATGATATTTTGAATCCTTCTTAATTCATACCCAAAAATACAAAAATAATGTTAGATGGTTCTTGATTTTATAATGTTGAATTAACTAAATAATCATTCAATTATTATTCATTATTAATATTGTATGGTAATTTAGGAATCATATGTAAAATAGATATTGCTCTTTATGCAAATACCTTTTGATTTCTACACATATATTAACATTCAACACATTATATATTTAAATTATCTTTTAAACTTTATAATACTTTGTCTTCAAACAACATTGGTAATGTTAATAAAATTACTCTTACATGACGTTAATAATTCTTCTATTTAACTTCTCCTAATTCATCTATTTCACTCATTTTGTCCTCTTACATATTTTAAATTTATTCAAGAAAATCAACAAAATGATATCTTATCTTTTCAAATGGAATTTTATTATTATATACCTCTTCAAATGCCAATTTGGATATATGAAGATAATATCTTATAGGTTAAGGTGGTGAATATTATTTAATGATGATTTACAATTCATTAAGAAATTTCCCTAATTAAACTGATAATTGATAATGTTCATTTAACTATATCTTTTAAATTAATATTTTTAACATCTCTCTTAATTTTCTATATATCAAATATTCCATAGATTTTAATTTACAAAGACTTATTGTTTAATGATTTCCAATCTAATCTTCTGCTACAATATATGCAACTGATCCTTCTCCTTCTAATTCCATAGGTCCTTCTCCTATAAGTTTTGACCATAATGCTAATTGTTTAAGAACACCTTCATAATTATCAAAATTTTTAATTGATTAATTTTTAACAAATTGCAAATTAAATTATTCACATATTTATTTAGTATGTTCTACAGGTAAACAAATATCAGGTGAATTATTATTAACAATGGCATAAAATATAAGTTGAATATGTGAATATTTTGTTATATGTTAATACTCAGGATTACCACAATATTCACCTATCAAAGTATGTTGAGTAAGAAATAATTTTAAATCATCAAAATTTTATTCTTTAATAATTTCTAACCATTATTTTGCAATCAATTTTGCCCATGTATGTCTTAAATCATTATACAAATTTAGATCATCTTCTTATTGAAAGAGAATTGTGCAGTTTTTACTAGCTACCAACCAATATCCATTAGTAAAACTTATTTAACAATGTTCACCATTCTCTTTGAATAATTTATAAAGATGTATCTTTTTTCCCTCTTAAATTGCTTGTTTTATGGGATTCAAAATATTTTAACATGCTTTTTCATGATATCTTGACAATTTAATATTTTATTATTCCAATTCATAATCAATATATTTCCTTTCAAGATCATAGAACTTTCTCATTCCTCTTCTACATATGCTTATTGAATCATCATGTACTAAAATTGAATTACCTCTTCTAACATTCATTAGAAAGAATGGATTTTTGAGGTAAAGCTTATCTTCCATTGGACCTTTTTTATGAAGAGAAATATCATAAAGTTAGAAGCCAAAGATATCTTATTTTACAAGTAAAATCTTTTTATGCTCTTTCATTTTCTATAAGTATTCAGCAGGATCAGAAATGTAAATACCTTGTTACATAATTAAATTAATAATTTATGGAGTAATTTTAAAATGCATATAAAGAGTTGGCAAAGATGGCCAAAATGAGTAGTTTTTATTAAACCCAAAAGAAGGATTTAAAAATTAAAGGAATTCAATAGAAAATTAGTCAAAAATCAAAGAAAATTAAAGAGGCTCCATTAGCATCCAGAGAAGAGTTGATGCAAAAACTTAAAAATAAGATAGATACATTGAAAGCTGATAGAACTACAAAGAAGGATTATATACCACCTAGAAAATAAAGATAATAAAAAAAAAAATGAATATATAATTATTTCTAAAGAATATAATATATTTTTGTTAAATAATAATTTTTTTGAAATATGATGTGATCCAAATATCATATTAATTAAATTTAATCCTAGTAAATGATACATCTAATTATTGAGAGATAATTTGAAATGAGAGAAACATCATTTTATTCTATAATTTTTTGGAATTGAAATTATTATTCTATTTCTTTTCATTCTAATTCTAAATTAATTTATCATGAATCATATTCTTTACAGTTCTAAACTTTATTTATTTTTGCACACATATAATAGTCCTAAAAATCTAAAACTTTAATTCTAAAATATATATACATTATATTGTTAGATTAATTATTATAAAAAATATTTATAATAATTTTATTTAATTGTGATGTTCAGCATTATTCTTATTTTAAAATTCAAATAATTTCTCTGTTTGACTTAAAATCAAAGAATTCTTTATACCAACCTCATATTTATTTATTAAATACTATATATGTAATAAATAAAATTAATAAATGATGCTATAACTTATGGCATATTGAATCATTAAATTTTGAAAATAGTATATATTAATGATGAATTATTATAATTCAAAACCCAACAATATCTTTATTACTTAAATCAATATTAAATACACTAAAAAAAATGTAAAGGAAATAGTAATATGAAAGTGATTTCAATAATTTCTAAGAAGCCAGCAAAATTTCACTCGATTAAATGTCTAAACAACAAGACCTTAACAAAGAGGCATGTCTTAAAAATGCTAAGACTTTTGAATTATTTGCTACATGTATTAATTTTGTATATTTATTTAGGTATGGAAAGACATGAAGGCAAAATAGATAATATTGCTAAATATCTCTCAATGAAGATGCTCTTTATTGAAAAATAAGCATTAGAATGCTATAAAGGAAATACAAATGATAGAGAATATGAAAGATGTCATCAAAGAGTTGAATAGCAGCTACATGATGTCTATAGTTAATACTATTAAGGTTTACTTAACCTTTGACTTCATATATATATATTAATTTAAAAAAGATTACCCAAAAATCTTATGTTTCAATATTTCACTTTATATAAATTTTTACAATTCACATAATTATAATAATTTTATGAATAAACTCTAAATATTAATATATTTGTTTATTAAAATCAATTATATCAAATAGACAAGCAAGAATTGAATAGGTATTCTTTAAAAATATTCTTTCATCATCTTCAAATACAAACCATCTTCCAAATAATTAATTTTATATTAAATCACTATAAATAAATATATATAATATTTTTCAACAAAATTTGCAAGTTAATTCATATTTATCTAAAACC